TCTTTTGGATTATCATTAAGAATTATTATTTCGTTATTTATCATTAATTAATTTTATTGATTAAATCGTTATTAAATTCTTATTACGAGAGTCCATCAGTGGGACAGGGGATTGTATGTACATTGCTTGATTGTTCTACCCCTGTTCCCACTCTCCCTACCCCCTTGTATTCTGTGAACACCGGCACCTCTCAAGTACCGCATCAGTTCAGACTGATGTCGATGGAACAGGACACCGAGGCACTGCCACGGCGCAGTGCCAGGATCGCAGTTCGTGCCCGCCCTGCGGTACCTCCAAGACCCAAAGAGATTCAGCAGACGGACGACTCCAGCGACATCAATTACGGCATTGACAGTACAAGACAGCACCGGAGATCTTCCCGCATGCCCGGTCCGAGAGGCCAGCGAGTCTTTGGCTGACTATCGTGGGCGGCTACAGGCATTTACAGACGCCGTAGCCGTCGCCGAGTCTCAGCAGGCTGCGGCAGAGGCAGAACGTCAGCGGCGGGCCAATGAGGCGGCAGCCGAAGCTCAGCGGACAGCTGAGACTGACGAAGCGGCACGAAACAGACGGAATGCCGCCAGCACGGAGTCCCTGATTGCCAGTGAGCATCAGTGGACAACGATACTCCAAGGCATGATCTTTGTGCCTACGGAAACGCAGGCGGAGCCTACACAGGCGGAGGCAGAGAGAAGTAACCTGGCTACCGTGATGTTGAACGTAATGAGGGGAGTAATGTGGAACAACAAACTACTGTAGGCACACCTGCACGCGGAACGACAGCAAAGACAGCAGTACCAGCAAGACCTGGCCGCTGTAACGGCCGGCGTCCGCGACGCAGCAATGCAGCAGCAGCAACAGCAGCAACTGATGAACTCTACCATCGCACGCATCAACGGCATTGAGGCCAATGCCTCAGCAGCGCCAGGCTGCACGACGGACGCGACGAAGCAAATCAACGAACGAATCGATCACGTCGTCACCATCATCGGCGACATAGGTGTTTTCAACGGACCGAACACGATCAGCAGCACGGTGGCCGCCATCAAGACGGACATCACCAAGCTACAGACGAGACCGGACGCCGCTACAAAGACGTTCAAGATGCCGCACTTCGACATCTGCAAGTTCGACGACTACAACAAGTCGGACGCTTTGACATGGTGGCAACGTTTCCTCACGGAAGCGTCATGCCGCACTGTCCCGACGAACGACATGTTGAAGGCACTCTACTTGCAATTGATTGGAGGAGCGCAGGCATGGATGAACCACCTGGCGGCCACCCACAAGTGCACCATCGCCGAACTCCACACGCACATCACGTGGAAGGAGTTCGAGCAGCTATGGTTCACCCGGTTCATGGTCCGCAACGTCGTGAAGGCGGCCATGAATGAGGTGTACACATGCTCTCAGGGGAACATGCCAACTCGAGACTGGACAACGAAGTGGCAAAAGATAGTGACCACACTAGGCTTCGACTTGACGTTTCGAAATCAATGATCCGAGTTCTTCTCGCGATCATGCGCGGGATTGCGGTCGGCACTCGGTAACGAGTACGACTATACCACATTCCAGGCCAATCTGGATCGAGCGAACTTGGTCATCCAAACGGATGACAAGGCCGCTAACGAGAGACAATCCCAGCCGCATTATGTGGCTAAGCAGGCCTATCAACGTCCGACACATAACAATGCCGTGATTTCTGAGGAAACCGACGACCACCACGCTGCAGCAGCATCCTCGGGTGATGGAGGAATTGTCGCAGCGCTCCCGCCGAAGCATCCCAAGAGAGTTCGTAAGAACAAGGCGACACAAGAGACGACAGCGACAGGAGCTGGGCAGCAGCCATGGACGACATATAAGATCACCAAGGAGGTCTATGACCTGCGTCAGAAGTACGCATACTGCCTTTGGTGCAACGGAGTCACTCATGTGACCGCACAATACCCCGAAAAGGGCAAGGCACGCGTACCCCGTCCAACAAACTCGAGAAACAGAGTTACGCAAGGAGAGGGGCGACGTCTCTCCTCACTCCGCCGGACCCGGTTGCCTTGCTAGCAATCGATGTCACTACCGGGGAGCATGCGTTAGTCG